TAGGTTTTTACTTTGAACAGCAACATCTATCTATCTTTCTATTTTTTAGGAGCCTCCAAAAATGCGTTACGCATCCCCTTGGTGGTGATGTTTATGTAACTACTTATCTGCCTATCTTTCACCTATTCATATATTTACCATCTCCATCTGTCTACCTTGGCAAATCCACAGAACTAAACGATTTGAAAATATTACATCCCAAGTATCACGTTGTATTACATGAATGTTACAGTGATATTTAATATTTAATATTATATTCAATATTTAAGGAATGTTAAAATGTCTGACTCTTGATAGATTTTTCTATTTATTTTTGTTGGTTACTTGTTCTATAATTTCTCTCGCAAATAATGTGTTTTCATTTACGAGCCACTGATATAATTGTAAAAATAATTTTTATAAAATCCTAGTGCAATATTAATCACGCTACCCTGGAACTAATTTTAACCCTCAACTTTTGCTTCCCTTCCAAAAATCTTGTTGCATCTTCTTCGAAGTATATCACTAAACATTTTCCAAAAAAAGTTTCAAAATCCGTCGGGCGCTTTTTTTTAATTTCATATTTAGTGTTTTTAGCGACGAATTTAAAATAACTTGTTCAAAAAAATATATAGAAACATAATTTTACATGAAATTTTCCGTAGAATCGAAATATGACATTAGCTTTTGAAAGTCAATTGAATAAATTTTAAATTTTTTCCGCCATATTGGATCCGTCATTTTGAATTTTTGAAAACTAACATCGAATTCGTAATTGGCAACCCTAAAAACCCATGAGTAACAAAATTTAGACGAATTCAATAACATTTTGGTATTTTGAAATATAGTGACAAAAACTTTCAAATTTTACTTCATATTTGACGCCATATTCGGTCCGCCATCTTGAAATTTTAAATTGTACACTGAGAAAAAAGAATGATCAAATTTACTATGAAGAGTGTCAAACTTGAAAAAGTTGACACTCTTCTGTTTGGATCTTAACCTGAGGAGTGTTAAATTTACATTCCTCATAATAAGTTTAATTATCATTAATTTTCCATTTTTCTCCATGTACTTTACGTTTCTTGAAAGTATACAATTTTTATGCAATTTCCTTTTTTCAATATTGATAATTTTTTTTACCCATAAAACGTGTGTGAATAAAATTCAATTCTTAATCATAGGTGCATAAAAATTGTATACTTTTAACCCTTGTGTCTATACCCAATAAATTCTACATTGTATCACACCCGGAGTACCCACTAAAGCGATAAATTTATAAAAAATAATCTGCCGGTCAGATCCAGGGATTTTTCGTCTCAGGGCTTCAGATCTTCATTATTTATATTAAATAATAGCAATTTATTCATTAAAAAAACTTTTTTTATAAATAAATAAAAAATTAATTTAAAGTATGGATATACTGTGTCTGCACTCCGGGTGCCTGAAACAAATTATTTAAAAATTCATTAGATTCACTTGAAATTTGTTACTCAGGGATTTTTTGAGGCTCTGATTACGAATATGATGCTAGTTTTTAAAAATTCAAAATAGCAGATCCAATGGCGGATGACATTTTTAAAATTTTATCAAATTCACTTGAAACTTAATACTCAGGGGTTTCTGGAGTCACTGATTACGAATATTATGTCAGTTTTTAAAAATTCAAAAAAGTAGAAGATTAGAAAACGCCATATTGGATCTGTCATTTTGAATTTTGTAAAATTAACATCAGATTCGTAATCAGCAACCCCAAAAACCCCCAAGTATAAAGTTTTAAGTGAATCTAATGAAATTTTAAAAATGTCCACCGTATTGGATACGCCATTTTGAATATTTAAAAACTGTTATCATAATCGTAATCAGAGACCCCAAAAATCGCCGAGTAACAAATTTCAAGTAAATCTAATGAATTTGTAAATAATTTGTCTCAGGTACAACCTGGAGTGCAGTAACTGCTAATTTTTTATTTATTCATAAAAAAAATAATTTTTTCTAATGAAGAAATTGCTTTTATTTAACATAAGTAACGTTGGTCTGGAGCGCTGAGACGAAATTTTAATATTTATTTGACTAAAATGAAAAAATGTGTAGTCGTGGGTACCCGGGTATGAACACAAGGGTTAAGAAATGTAAAGTAGAATTAAAATTTTCAAGATGGCGGACCAAATATGGCATCAAATATGAAGTGAAATTTGAAAGTTTTGGTCACTATATTACAAAATACCAAAATGTTATTGAATTCGACTAAATTTTGTTACTCGGGGGTTTTTGGAGTCGCTAATTACGAATTCGATGTTAGCGCATTCAAAAATTCAATTTACCTTCGAAAGCTATTGTCATATTTCGATTCTACGGAAAATTTCATTCAAAATTATGTTTTTGTATAATTTTTTGAAGAAGTTATTTTAAATTTTGTCGATAAAATCACTTAACTTTAAATTAAAGAAAAACGCCCGACGGATTTTGAAATTTTTTTTGGAAAATGTTCAGTGATATACCCCGAACAAGTTGTAACAAGAATTTTTGAAGCAATTTGAGGGTTGAAATTTTGCTCCAGGGTGCCGTGCATAATGCATAATGGCATTTGAGCCATTATGACTTCACAGTTTTACAATACAACATTTTCCGGTATCTGGTTAATGGATTTTTGAATAATTTTTAATGAAAGTTGTTGGAAAATGTTTATAATAATAAAGATTACGTCTGTAATCAGTAGACAAATATATCGTGAGCAATGCATAGTCTCTATATGGGGCATTCTCCGTGAAATTTTAACTCAAAATTTTTTTTTGATTGAAACAATTTTTTTCGAATTCTATATGAAAAATAAGTAAATACGTGTATTTTTATTTTTTTATTTGATCAAAATTATGAAAGTTATGGTTTTTTTTAGATTTAACGTTTTCAGATGCAGAGGACTTTTGAAACACTTTTTTCTCTGTTATACCAAAAGATAAAAAATTATATAATATATGGAAATTATTTATTTTTTCATGAATATTTCAAATATGTAATAAAAAATAACATTAATAAAGCGAAAACATTAGATAAATTAAAATTTCGTCTAAAATGTGACTTTTCTCAAAAGCGAAGTAATTGATTTTCGATTTTTTTCTTTCATTACAACCACTGACAAATAAAGAAATTTTTTCCACTTATGCTAAAGTGGTGTTCTTTAGGGTTCAAATTATATTTAAAATTATGTCAGTCGTTACACAGATTTTAGAGAAGGAAATTGAAAAATTAACCACAAAACATTCGTTTTCTTTTGTTTTTGAAGGTTAATTTTTTAAAAAGTGTAAAAGTCGAATAATATTCTGTGCAACGACTGACATATTTTTAAATATAATTTGAACCCTAAGGAACACCACTTTGGCATAAGTGGGAAAAATTTCTTTATTTGTCAGTGGTTGTAATGAAAGAAAAAAATCGAAAATCAATTACTTCGCTTTTGAGAAAAGTCACATTTTAGACGAAATTTTAATTTATTTAATGTTTTCGCTTTATTAATGTTATTTTTTATTACATATTTGAAATATTCATGAAAAAATAAATAATGTCCATATATTATATAATTTTTTATCTTTTGGTATAACAGAGAAAAAAGTGTTTCAAAAGTCCTCTGCATCTGAAAACGTTAAATCTAAAAAAAACCATAACTTTCATAATTTTGATCAAATAAAAAAATAAAAATACACGTATTTACTTATTTTTCATATAGAATTTGAAAAAAATTGTTTCAATCAAAAAAAAATTTTGAGTGAAAATTTCACGGAGAATGCCCCATATACAGCTTTTCTTTATTTTCCTATTTTGAGTTCTGTGATGATAATCAGGTAATACACCGTGCTACTTGGGTATTTATTTTCTCCCTTTTCTACCATTCATGAATAATACTGTTTTCAGTACAGAACAAAATCATGTAAAACCCTTTGTAGTGCCTACAAAGTTAATATTTATCAAATAGTCTGTCCTCAAACGTATCTAATTTTTTTGACACTGAAAAGTAAATTTTTTTGTGGAAGCTTAAAAATTGCAACTTCTGCAAAAAAAGGACCACCCTATTATAAATACATGTAATTACTTATATAATTAAATTCATTTTTGAATAATAATTAAAGGTAATTGTCAAAAATTTGAAAAGAATTAAATGCACTTTTCAGTAACAAAAAATAAATCTTTTTCATATTGTACTTTCAGCGGAAATTTAATTCCATTTTTTAATGAACTTATTTCTTTTGAAGAAATAAATAAATTAAGACATTGTAAAACTGCGTTTCCTTAAAAATAAATACAATTTATAGCGATATAGAAACATAACTCTGCACCTGCAAACGTGAATAACTTTAAATTTAAATTGTATTTATATTATTAAATCGTTTGGTTTCGTGGATAGATACCACCTCTCCTGTTCTTACAAATTGAAAAACGCTTATCTAATGGCGCCTTCATTCCCATGAATTTTCAAACATTATGAACATGAACGAACATGAATGTCATGAAATGAAAAATTTTATAAATGAAAAAACTGTATTTTGAATGAATTTATAATAGATCGATGAAAAAGCATCACAAAATACATTCAAGAATTCATGAGTTTAGAGGCTGTGAGGAATGAACAAAAATTCAAAAATTTCATTTTCAAGACTCACTCAACTATGTATATATTTACTTATATCTATTATTTATTTATATATCTATGAATAACTAATAACTTTAAACTCTTTCTTGATAGGTCAATCTGTATAACGAATTTTTCTAGTCTACGCCCTATAACTTCTAAAGCCACTTGAATAGAATTTTTCATATCTTTCTCCATAATATGTTAATAATGGATGGCATAAAAAGTTCAGTGTAATCGAAATATAAGCATAAGACTTGAAAATCACGCGACACTCTGCATTATTTTAAAATGCGTTTATAAGTTACTTACTATTATTGTTAATCTTAATACTCGTTGCTATTGTAAATTTGCGAGGAGAAAAGGATGGGGGAGGATTATAAGAAAGTTGTCGCACTTATTCGACTAGCAATTGTTTTTCAATGATAATTACAAGAAATTAAATGCACATGGTGTTTTCGGCGTTGATTTAGGTTACAAAATAAATATTGCTAAACTTGTTACTTTTACCAACAAACGGTCAAAGCAGACTTGAATTTACATAATAAATCGTTTTCAGTATCTTTTGTTTTCTTTTTACTCTATTTTTAAGCAATACTTTCGTTTCATGTGATTTACAACTCAAAGTTCCATTTCTTTAAATTAATTAAATTAATTTGTGTTAATTTAATTAAATGTTTGAAAATAAGTTTCTTAAAATTTGATATATTTTAAATGTACGTGAATAAGAATTGAAAAATTGTTATATTACAGTTAATTTAATATGTAATATTAAAATGAACGCCAAATTATTTTCGCATAGTAGGTGCTTAAATTTACCTTGAGGCTAGCTAGAATTTTGCTTAGATGAATTTTTTTTCGTCTCGTTCGTAATAGACGTTAGACTACCCGTAGATGAAAGAGAATCTACAACATCTGCTTGCTGTTGAATGTATGACGTCAAGTGAGAATCAGTTTCTTCCATCTCACTCCTATTATAAAAATCAGTGTTTGTCGATTGATTTTGCGGAGAATTTTCATTTTCTTGAGTAAAAATAAGAGAATCATCCACTTCTGGTAGGTTAGGTAATTTGACTACATCTTCTTTTATAAGAGTACGTTTAAATGTTACTAAAGTTTTCCTAAGAGTGATGCAGAAACCTCTCGAAGCCGGTATCAGAGGGAATTCAGGCAAAATTGATTCATCTGAAATAGAACAAAAAAATTTTAAAACAAGCAAATATTATTAAATAAACAAGGCAAAAAAAACTCTAATGCAGTGGTATTTAAATTTATATGTAAGTTCGATTGTAAGAATCAGTAAAATAAAGAGAGAGTCAAGTTTCTTTAGTTTTCTACAAATCAAGTTACAACTTGTAAAAACACTTCTTTTCTATTTTATCGTAAATGTTACATAAACGTACACTGAGAGAAAAAATCCGCCGTTTCAGCGGTAAAGTGATGCTATTTTAGCAGGAGTTGCACCGCCAAGCGAAAACTGCTGTTTTAGCATGGAAACACTGCAGTTTTAGCATTATAAAACTGTAGAAATAGCAGGAAAGTCATGCTGAAACTGCAGTGTTCACACAGTCGTCTTTGCATGCCATAGTGTTTCTCAACACTGCTGAACACTGTCAAATTTGCATGAGTAGACGGCGACACTTTGGCGGTTTTTTCTCTCAGTGTATGGAATAGCATAAAGCTGTTTCAGTGTTTTGCGGCCAGTGTGTTCTCCTACGGATGCTTGGTTTGGGCCCTCTGTCATTTGGAAATAATTGAAAGGGTTCAGCTCGAGTTTTTAAAAGGTCTGTTTTTTCTTTCGACTTGTATCCCGAATTTCGCGATTAGGTTTAAGGCGTACTTGCGTTTGCGAAGGCAAAAAATGGGTCCTACTTTTTTTTCACAGTCACTTTATTTAAAATATTAAAAACAATTTTTGCACCTTAAAGTACAATATAAAAACTACACGGAAAAAAATACTAGGCTAAAAACACATGAGCGTCTGTTGTGTATATTGCACGCACACTACCATGCGTGATTAGCTTGGAATCCATCCTATTTTCGCATGGTGCTGTGGCAAAAGTCACAAAAGCCATGCATTTTTAGTAAACTCCTGTGTGATATTTGCAAAATGGGCTCATGTAAAAATCGAACCAATAGACTCCATGCATTATTAGGCTGATTTTTTTTTCCGTGTACAAAAAGAAAAAATTGTTTAGTTTTTTAACTGTTATTTACGATTCGTAGAGGGCGACAAAAATGGCGATCTCTAATTTGTAAGAGTTTGCAGTGCCCCCCATAGAGCCGCTCCTGGCAGTCTAAAATAAAAAAAACAAAATTTATTCCTTGGTAAACATTAATGCCTAGTGGACGTATGTGATGAAATTGAAAAAATTTAAAAAAACGAAAATGACGTCCTTTTAACCCTTTAACCCTTTGCGGCATAGTGGTAACCCAGATTACCAGCTTTTATATTGTGAAAATATCTGTTTATATACAGTCTTTTTGAAGTAAAATTCAAAAATCTTTGTTTATTAATAATCAAAACATTGTTAAATGTCGAAAAATTGATAGCGAATGAGGTTACGTGAAATTATAAACAACTATAAATAAATAAATTAAAGAACAAAAAAATTTTTTTTTAAATTCAATCGACATTGATTGAAAGTCTTCACTCGGGGGTTTTTGGGATCGCTGATTACGAATCTGAAGTCCGTTTCCCAAAATTCAAAATGGCGAATCCAATATGGCGGACATATTTTTTAAAAAGTGATTTGATTTGCTTGAAAATAGTTACTTGGGGGTTTTCGGGGTCGCTGATTACGAATCTGAAGTCCGTTTCCCAAAATTCAAAATGGCGAATCCAATATGGCGGACATATTTTTTAAAAAGTGATTTGATTTGCTTGAAAATAGTTACTTGGGGGTTTTCGGGGTCGCTGATCACGAATCTGAAGTCCGTTCTTAAAAATTCAAGATGGCAGATCCAATATGGCGGACGAATTTTTTAGAATTGATCGAAATCGCTTGAAAGTCGTTACTCGGGGGTTTTCGGGGTCGCTGATTACAAATCTGAAGTCCGTTTCCCAAAATTCAAAATGGCGAATCCAATATGGCGGACATATTTTTTAAAAAGTGATTTGATTTGCTTGAAAATAGTTACTTGGGGGTTTTCGGGGTCGCTGATCACGACTCTGAAGTCCGTTCTTAAAAATTCAAGATGGCGGATCCAATATGGCGGACGAATTTTTTAGAATTGATCGAAATCGCTTGAAAGTCGTTACTCGGGGGTTTTCGAGCTCGCTGATTACGAATCTGAAATTACTTTCAATAAATAAACATTAAATTATTAAATAATTGTACCGTCGGCATTTGCGTTACCTGATGTACACCGCGGGGAGGTTGCACGATCGGGATTTGTACATCGTTTAGCCCTGAAAAGGGCAGTTTGGTAAATACTGTTCAAAACTTTATAATAATCAAATTGAGCTGTTTATTTCCTAATAAAATTAACTAATTAATTAAAATCAGCGGATTTTAATTGCTATTATAAAGTTTTGATGTGTCTTGCTTTGAACAATTAAATTTTATTTTCAGCAGTGGTAAGCAGCGAAGCAATTCGCTTTCAGTAAAATTCATTTGCTTTAGTCCAGTTAGTATTTTAGTTTCTTTGAACTTTTAACAGTGTTTTGTTTATTGTTTGTTATAATCAACGTAAATATGCGTTTAGTCAAATATTGCTGATTTATAACTTGTCTTTTTTGTGCTTGTCATTTGTTTCGTCAAACTATGGATAGTATTTTGTTTATTGTTTGTTACCATCACCGTAGGTATGCGGTCAGTCAAATAATGCTGAATTAGAACTTGTCTTTTTTACGCTACGTTTAGTAGATGAATTGGTAGGACACAAACTACCAAGTTCAACTAGGAAGAAACGTAAATTAAGTACAATCTCTTCTTACAAACCAAAAGTGTCAGAGGAAAAAAGAAAAAGTCAATCAGCTCATATGCCTAAAATTATCGCTTGACCTAGACGCTGCGCTCATTGCAGTACTAAAGCCGACCAAAAGCGAACATCATGGATGTGTAAAACTTGCAATGTACCAGTCTGCCTGTTTCCCACAAGAAATTGCTTCGCTGCTTACCACTGCTGAAAAAAAAATTCACTTGTTCAAAGCAAGAGACATCAAAAACTTTATTATAGCAATTAAAATCCGCTAATTTTAATTAATTAGTTAATTTTATTAGGAAATAAACAGCTCAATTTGATTATTATAAAGTTTTGAACAGTATTTACCAAACTGCCCTTTTCAGGGCTAAACGATGTACAAATCCCGATCGTGCAACCTCCCCGCGGTGTACATTGGGTAACGAAAATGCCGACGGTACAATTATTTAATAATTTAACGTTTATTTATTGAAAGTAATTTCAGATTCGTAATCAGCGACCCCGAAAACCCCCGAGTAACGACTTTCAAGCTATTTCGATCAATTCTAAAAAAAATTCGTCCGCCATATTGGATCCACCATTTTGAATTTTGGAAAAGACTTCAGATTCGTAATTAGCGACCCCAAAAACCCCCGAGTAACTATTTTCAAGCGATTTCGATCAATTCTAAAAAAAATTCGTCCGCCATATTGGATCCGCCATCTTGAATTTTGAAAAACGGACTTCAGATTCGTGAACAGCGACCCCGATAACCCCCGAGTAACGACTTTCAAGCTATTTCGATCAATTCTAAAAAAATTCGTCCGCCATATTGGATCCGCCATCTTGAATTTTGGAAAACGGACTTCAGATTCGTAATCAGCGACCCTGAAAACCCTTATAAGCATTTGTGATTTTTAAATTAATGTTATAATGTTATACATGCCGCAAAGGGTTAAGGCCCGACTTTTTTTAAGTGATGCGATTTTCGTCATACTCTGTACTTAAGGGTTTTTGAGGTCGCTGATTACGAATCTGATGTTAGTTTTTCAAAATTCAAAATGGCGGACGACTTTTTTAAGTTAGTCGCAAGGCTTTAGCCCACGAGATCGATTTGGACCTTTCTCTGCAATCCATCAGCACCAAATTCTTGCCTGAAACGTTAGAGAGGATCATCTCGATCCGCAGAAGGGCTTTGATTCCGAAAGAGTTATCCGGGCTGGTCGAATTTGTCTTCTTTGGCGTTTCCATTCCTGACTCGATCCTCATTTCTAGAGCCATCTTCAAATTCATCTTATGTGTTCCTCCCCCTAAGCGCTGTCATAAGTGCCAACGATTGACGCATTTCTCTTGCGAATTCTGCGAGGACCCCCATGAGCAGAAAAAATGCCCTAAACGCAATCACACTTCACACTGTTCTAACTGCTCGGGCAAACATACCGCCTCTGCACATGAGTATTCCATTTACAAATTTGAACGAAAATGGAGAGAATTTCTTATTGAATATTGAGTATTCTCAGACCTGGATACCAAATCATCTGGGACAGAGGTAAATCACATAGGTGTAGTTTAAGACTCCCCCACCGAAATTGCAAGTATACTTCTTCACCCCGAGTTAACAACTCCCCTTCATCTTAATCTCAAGTCTCTAACTCATCTTCTAACGCGGATAATAATCACTCTATTGACAGAGGGTCTGCAATCGATCTCAGTGTTGAACTACGCATGAAAGCTAAATCTAATGTTGTTATTTTTGGATTATCTGAAGCTGCATCCAACGATACCTTCGACCCTGTTCAGGATAATAAATCCGTTAATGATCTGCTATTTGCCATTCTTACTGAAGATCAATTTGTTCAATTGAATAGTTTATAGTACATTATGCAACAAGGGAGGTAAGTTCGAGTTTATGTAACGAGCACAATATTGAAAAACGAGTCGTAGCACGAGCGAAGCGAGTGCGAAGACGAGTTTTTCAATATTGTGCTCAGTCATAAACGAGGTTACCTCCCTTGTTGCATACTTTACTTTATACAACAAAGACGTATTATGGTTACTCTATGCTACATGAACCGGTGCATGCTAAGTTCTCCCATATAACCCAGCTGGTCAATAAAGTAACCATTATTGCCCTAGGGAGATAAAGGGTAATTTATTGACCTGTGAGCGGTCAATAATGTACCCTTTATCTCCCTAGGGCTATAATGGTTACTTTATTGACTGCTGGGTTATAAGGGGGAACTTAGTACGCGCCTGTACAGGTAGATAAAGTGGCCATA